TTTGAGCAGGGGATGCCGGACGGTGTCTGGACACCGATGAAGGTCAATGTCAGTAATGCCGGTGATTGTCCGGACACGGGAGGCCAGCTGCCACCCCGGGCACTGAGTCTTGCACCGGCATTTATTGGTATTTTCGGAGGTCCTCTGGTAATGTGGACTACATGTAGTCATACACATGCAACTCTCCTATGTATTGAGTATTGGTCGGACATTACCCTGTGATATGTTGAGTTTACGATGTGAAGAAGTGTCTTCACCACCTTCACTGTGACGAACGAGCTCGGGTATATACGGGCGTCCTTCCCCTTTCCCCCTTTTCCTTTCCGTCAGTCGTGTTGCATACGGCTGAGATGAGTTTCGTGTTCACGCTGCATTATTCATGTACCTGACAGCGTATACTAGATTCATTGTTACTAGGTACATACACCACTATACATAGTCATGTTGCATACAGCTGAGATTGACTGCCACTAGTTTCTACACGATACAGGTCGCACATAAAAAATGTGTTACTACCAGTGAATTACGAGGAAGGCTCTTATCTAGCTTGTTGGGGGTCAAATTAGCAAATCTAAGAGAAAATATGGAGCTGGCTAAGTCTGACCGCTGGTCCGGAAATTTTGATATGCAAGACCATTCTGCTTCCTGGCTCTCAAGCACCCCTCATACCAGTGACACAGAGCACATGAGACTATGAGCTTCAAATCTTCTGTACATATATCCCAAGGTAGCGGGCTCTGCCGCCCGGAGGGTGGCGCTACCAGCCTTATTCAGATAAGGCAACTCTAGGAATGCGTCATTGACAGGCACAAATGTCAATCAAACGCTGTCCCGCCGCTGCTCACTGGGTCGGTTTAAATGCCTGCAGGCTGCAACTCCACCTCCAACACTCACTTGTACCTAAACATTTTATAGCGCGCTCGTTACCCCCAGCATGCCGCCCCAGGTGGACCTTGTCGTCGTCTTCCGCGCGTCTTCGCCTCGCCCGGTGTCGAAACCGCAGGCCCGGGAGGACGCGGAGCAGGCAGAACGACAGTACACGAACCTCATCGACACGCTGAACAATGGTGGTCTGAAAGCGGTGGGGAGGAGGGGAGAGAACGCGGGTCAGTTACTCGTTCTGGTGTGGTGCCCGTCGGCGACGCTTGTCCGTCTCGTACACAGTGAGAGGTGCGTGTTCAAGTAAGCATTGCGGGCGGACAATACTGGCGTGCGATGACTGGACACTTGACTCTACGAGACCAGCGGGTGCCAGCCTTCATAGCATGCATTGCGGCAAGATATAGTCTTGCTCAATAGTCGTTCTAAGCAGGTGCAGCCCCTCCAGCAGGCTCCTTCACAATCGCAGCCCAGACATTCGTCCTTACGCACATGCAATGATAACATCTGCCTGCTAACATATTTCCTGCAGATATTCGGACTTCCTCTCAGGTCTGCCAATCACGCGCCGTATGAACGATTTGGACAATGTCCCTACCCTCTCGCCTGCTGACCGCCTGCGCCTTATTCATGCGTATATCACGTCCACTCCTTCTGACGGCGGTCTTGGAGTTCTTCCGGCCTCAAGTCACTGGGACCGTGTTGAGTCGGTCATGGCACTGCACGACCACGAGTTTAATGAACATTGGATCCGGTCCTGGACAACCCGCCAGTCTGGCTCCGTACACTTGGACAAGATTCGGGAACAGGTATGCCCTAAATGATCGCACGCCCATCACCTCTGACGTACTGTTCTTAGTTCGGCGAGTCAGTAGCCCTGTACTTCGCCTTTCTCTCCACATACACGAAGTCCCTGCTCATCCCCTCTGCTCTGGGTATCGCCTTCTACTACCTGGGCACACCCTACTCCCCTGCATACTCTATCCTCGTTCTCTTGTATTCTGTCACCTTCGTCGAGTACTGGCGCGTGCATGAGCGCATGCTCTCCGTCCGCTGGGGCACGCGTGGGTCGTTTCGGGTCGAGAAACGCCGGGCGGATTACAAGCCCGGGTTCGCCTGGTGGCGGCGGGAGCTCAGGACGCTTGCGAGTGTGCCAGTGATTGCGTGCTTCGCGGGTGTCCTGGCGCTCTTGCTGACCGCGATGTTCGTGTTTGAGGCGTTCGTGACGCAGCTGTGGTCTGGACCAGGTCAGAAATGGATTGTGAGTGTGAGAAGTACCTTTCACCGGAAAAAAACTGGTAACCGTCGTAACAGGGATTCACCCCGACAATACTGTTCATTGCGCTCGTCCCGCGCTTCCTGAGCTTCTACCAGCGCTACGCGGTTCGCCTAACTAACTGGGAAAACCACGCGCACCAGTCATCATACAACCGTTCCCTCACCCTCAAGACCTTCTCTCTGTCCGCCATCGTGGCATACCTCGGCCTCGCGCTCTCCGCGTTCATATACGTCCCCTTCGGCGAGACAGTCATGCAGAACGTGCAGATGTTCCTGGAGAAGAGCGACGTGGTGCAGGGTACCGGGTTCCTCGCGAGCCTCGCCCTCACTCCCGGTGTGAACGCGACCAAGGTCGTCGGAGACGAGGGCAAGCGGTTCTGGGTCATGGACACGCAGAGCGCGCGCAGGAAGCTGAACCCGAGCCGGCTGCAGAACCAGATGTACGCCTACACGGTAACGAACCAGATCATCAACTTCTTCCTCGAGAATGTCCTCCCGTTCGCGATGCGCGCGGTCGACTCGGTGCGCAACGGCCGGCCGGTGTGGGACGCGTTCACGACTAGTGCGAGCAGCGTTGGGCGGAAGGGTAAGAGCCCGAAGAAACGCGTCGTGTTTGAGGACGAGTCGAGGGGTGAGGGAAAGGATGAGCGCGAGTTTCTGGAGGAGGTCAGGAGGGAGGTCGCGCTGCCCGAGTATGAGGTGTTTGGCGACTTTTCGGAGATGGTTACCCAGTTTGGGTACGTTGTGCTCTGGAGTTCGATATGGCCTCTTGCACCCGGTAAGCATCGCAGTCGTTTACTGATATCACTGACGGACAAGAGCTAATTCCGTGTGTACAAACTACAGTCATGGCATGGGTCAACAACGTCATCGAGCAGAGCTCGGACGCGTTCAAGATTACCGTGCATAACCGACGGCCTATTCCCGTCCGCACGGACACGATAGGCCCTTGGCTCGACACCCTGACGTTCATCACCTGGCTCGGCGCACTGACGAACTCGGCTCTAGTGTACCTCTTCCGGCCGTGCTGCGGTGACGAGAGAGGGAACAGCACCACCATGGTCCGCGACCATCCTCACACCGTGGCCATTGTCGGCAATGGAGAAGGCCAGGCGACGAGGCCCACGGCGAACCAGCTGGTGGTGACAGCGACGCTGATTGCGCTCACAGCGAGCCACGGGTTTATTGTCGTGCGGGCTTTGGTGAGGCACTTGATGGAGAATATCGTCTGGAAGGGAAGCAAGGAGGTGCAGGAGGCGGAGGTTGTCGAGAGGCAAGTGAAGGAGAGGTACTTGGAGAGTATTGGGATCGGGAAGCAGGCGAACCTCGACAAGGTGCAGAATTTGGATGGGGAGGCGGACGCTAACGGGAGAGATGCGTTCTGGGTCGCCGATGAAGGCCTGGAAGAAATTCGAAAAGCAGTCAAGGATGCGTGAAAGGAGGTGGATGGCTTGCAAACAAAATCAGCGGGACTTCACGGACTTGTTACGATATATGAAGAACGGAAACCCAGAGCCTGAGGCTTGCCCGTCATCATGACTTATTAATACGATAGTTAACGAATGTAGTAAATACACGTGTACCTCCTCTTCTCAACCATGCAGCACCTGTGTTCTAAGTGTAGTACTCTAGCTGCTTATTCCATTCATCCAGCGTTGCAATCCTTATGCCTTCGGTTCCTGGAGCACTCCTGAGGCGCGCAATAGCTTTGGGACATGGCAAGCCCTCCAGTTAAGACAGTTGCTCGTCTACTAAGTCTTATTTAGGAGTATCAAGCCTAGGCAAGCCCTAACCCCAGCTGAAATTATGGACCTCATCCTATTATTCCGATTTGTTCCCGACAAGGGATGGACTCGGAAGCATTCGACGCATCCGACCGAATGCAACAGTCATCATGAATATTCCTTCCGAGGAACAATAGCCCATCACCTTCACAGCATTGACAGAGTATAAAAGGCATCCGTACAAAGGCAAGTGTGCCACCTCACCAGATAATTCTCCGATCGCACACGCTCACCTGTACACCACGCTCGAATATCCTGAAACAAGTCATCCGGGGACGTGATGTCGGGAAACAGCACAGAGTTCGAATCTATGGAGCTCCCCGTCGTTAACCGTCAGTGGGAAATCAGTCAACCAGAGGAAAACTTTATGGTCGTATGCCACCCGTATCCCTCGGGGTACCCGAACATGGAGACTGGCCAGGACGCGCAGAAGCTGGCCTTATGGCTCGCGTGTATTCTTGGGGACCATGACTACCTGCTTTCCTTGCGGTACAAACCGTCGGTACGTGCTGATACTGCTCCAGACGATGTTGCGCCACATGCTAGACATACTGCTTTCCCTTCATGCGCATGCCACCGGGTGCTAAATATCAACACCATTAAACACAGTCGCCACTCGTTGTATTCGGAGTTTCAGGGAGATTCACGGAGCTCAGGAAACTTCTCGGAGCGCATGAATGGTCCTATTTTTTGAAGTCCCCCGAGCCTGATGAGGCAGGCAAAGTGAGCAAGATCTTTCCTTGCAGGTATAAGACGGCCGGCGAGATTCAGAAGGCCGGTAAGTCGTATATTTGTCTTCGCGAGCCATCGTGAGGTCTGTCCCTCGCTTGACACATCTCTTTCAGCCTGGAAAGAGTGCCGGATCAAAGAGTCTTGGTTCTACCCTGAAGGTCTAGAGTGGCGACGGATGAAAGCGTACGTTGTCTGAGTTTGCGTTCATCCTTACAGGCTCTTAGCCCTTCCCGCAATGCTCTGCCGCTAGTAAAATCAAAGATCCCTACCCCGTGACCGGGAGGTGCGGCCTGCCAGGTGACAATGTAAACAAGGACGGCTTGTGCCTTCCACTTCCAGCAGATCTTTTCCCTCCCCCAAAAACTCCAAAGCTGGCGCCTGGTATGCAATACTCTCCGTAATCCACTTGCATTAGAGCCGGCACTGAATATTCGTCTGACTGACACTGGTAGGCTCGAGTGGATGGGTCCAAGAGAAGACTGGAGGTCCGTCCCTCCTGAGACAACCAAAGGTGTGTGGCGCGTGGTCTAAAGGAGCACCTGCGATCAAGGCAGCCAAGAGTGATGCGTGGCTATCCTTGAATGCAGCCCAAAGCATTACTACCGTCGCCCGTGAGTCGCTCTCTTTATTTACATCCGCCATCCCCTATATACTTGATCCGCAGCCGCGATGACCCGCGGAGCCAATATATCTTCTGGCAGCACTACGAGCAACGCTTCGGAGTTCCCAATAACGCCCAGGCCGGTTTCTCTTGAAGTAGCGGATCCCGATGCACTAGATCTTTCTCGCTTCTCGATCTCGGAGGATACCGGCGACATCCCGGACGGACACATCTTACCGCTTGCTGATTCTGTGACCGCACCTACTACTCCTGTGGATCCAACCGAAGACCTATGGAGGGGACACGACTCTTGGCCAGCCGAAGACGCGAAAAGCACCCTGGAGCCTAAGCAAGGAAAAAAGAAGATCGTTATACAGGATCAAGACGAGCTTGAAGACGGATGGAGTCAAGTCAAGAAGGGCCGCAAGCAGCGCAGGGGCAAGAACTGGAACTGATTCTGACAGATTCTCGCTCTTTTCTCCCTCTCTCTCTTTTGTCTTTTTCTGTTTCTTTCTCGCTTCCTTCTCGCTATTACCTTGTGTCTCAGAAGCCTTCAAAGATCATCTTATGTAGCCTTACCGTCATGTATCGAAACGCATCCATGTACTGCATCCCGCGACCGCTCGTTATACATGTCATGAATATCTATGTCTTGCCGAGTCTCAACCAAGACCAATGCTACTAAAATATTACATTCAGGTGCGTAGAAGAGATAATGGCAGTTGCCTTCGATGCAGCATCAGGGATATCGAGCTCCTATATCTTGAGACCTGGCATAATGACCTTCCTCCCTGTGACCTGGTTAGCTCGGAGTTCATTGATGATCTTGTTGACATTCTCCAGAGGCTCAACCTGGACAACAGGACGCACAGCACCCTTTCGTGTTGCAGTTAGCAATGGCTGACTGAACTGTGCAAATGGAGTCCTCACATCAGCCAAAAGCTTGAGACTGCTCTTCACATCGTCCTTGGACCCGTACAAAGTGGGCAAAACTGGCGCGAAACCGTAAGTTGTCTGGTTCCACCGCAATGTCTCTGTGCTTACCATAGACATCAGCGAGGATGAGTTCAATGGAAGTGAATGTCATAGTTTCCTCGCTGACGCCAACCTACATAATCGAGTAAATCAGCAATATACCAGTCACGCATCTCCAGAACCACGTACGACAACAATCTTCCCGTGCTTGCCAAGGGTGTTGGAATCAGCCTGAGTGGCAGCTTTGGCGAGGGTAAATGCTAGCAAAGTCGTCAATGCTTATATTCATACTAGTACGCGGATCAAGCCAGTTAACTCACTCTGGCTAGTGGCAACAAAATCAAAGACAATGTCTACAGTGAGCTTCTTGGTCGTAGTAGCGTCTGTAAGCTCCGCAAGGTCGAAGGCCTTCGTAGCGCCAAGCTCAAGGGCTAGCTGCCGCGCGGCAGGTTTGTAATCGCAGGCATAAACGGTGGCTCCATAGTGCTTGCACAATTGTACTGCCTGGTGGCCGAGGCCACCGATGCCGATGATCAGCACCTTTAAGTCACTTCTCGGACGTAACTAGCGAATGAATCATTATTTCATAGTCCATGAGCGGGTGGTGATTGAGGACATACGCCGGCGACGTTGTGGACAGCATTGTAAACTGTCAATAGTGAATCAGCAGCGAGAGCAGCGATTTCCGGTTTGAGACCGTGAGGCTAAGAGTAATAAGCAGTCATCGGAACGCTCGATTGATGATGTAGGTAGGTATACTCACCACTGGGACGAGCTGGGAATCTTCGACCAGTACATACTCGGCGTATCCACCGTTCATACCGATTCCAGTAGAGTCAATTATGGGTGCAACACCGGCTGCCTTAGCAGCACAAGGGTCAATTACCCAGACAGCGTAAAGGTGGCCTTCCTCAATCCCAGTCACGTCTGGACCGAGCCTAGGTATTATTTGGTTAGATATAGAGTGGTGGTATGTGCCGGTATAACTCACTGTACTGGAATGCCAACGATCTCGTGACCCAGAATCACTGGGTTGGAAAGCGGGAAGGAACCAGAGAGAAAGAAGACATCGCTGTGGCATACTGCACTTGCCGTTACCTTGAGAAGCACCTGCTTCTTGAACGGAGTTGGGATAGGGTATTCCTTTAAGACGAGATCGTTATTGCCAGGCTCGTAGATCGCAGCCAACATAGTATTCAGAGTCATGATAAGGGTGATCACTGGGTAGGGGCGAACTTATAGATCTGAGTACTTTCCTGACCCACGGACTCCAGGCTGCCTTTAATATCTGCCAAAGGAACAGCCTCCGAGTCAGTAAACGAGAGGAGAAATCGGACCAGCACGATATCCCAGGGGTTGTCTGCCCCATGGCTGTGGGGACAAGGGTATCGCGGTCGCAATCCGGAGATTCAGACTAGCTCCTCTCTGTCTAGCTATGTAGAGACAAGTGGTCGTCCGTGATTTCCAGAGAAAAGGCCTGAGACTTCTCGCAATCCAGCGCAAGCTAACAGACGAAGACATTTGAGAGAGGCCGTATACACTGGGTGGCGGATATCATAGCTTCCGACACCAGGCATCGTTCAATGCTCGTAGCTCAAGCTCAAGGGCGAAGAGTCGCTAGAAGCCGCGAGATTCCGGTAGGATCGAAACACCATTTCAGTTATACCATTGGGTATACAGATCAGCTACAGCGATGAGCACTGCCATAGGCATCCGTTCGTGCGGTCTCTTTTCCTGACTAGGCCGTAAACCTTCGCATTTGCCACCGTTATAGGTCTTCTGGATGTAGAAGCCCCCCCTGCTTTTTTGATCCTTGATTCTGGGCCAAAAGGCTGAGAGCAGGCTGCAGTTACCGCAAGTCAGAGTAAAAGTAGTAGTCGGGGACATCGGTCTGGAGGAAAGTGTTTGCCGATGTATTCGGACTCGAGAGTTTGAGCTTATGCCCTTGGGGAAGAAACAAGGATTAGTCCATTCTTGCAATGGCACTTCGGAAACCGCTAAAATGCTAGTGTGCATTGCAAGGTGGCGCGCAGTATCAAGGACCGCATTTGTAGCTCTCGTTAAATTGGCCTTCGTATCATGTGCATCTTGTGCAGGAATTCGGGTAGGCCTTGGAGACTAGATAGCCGAAACAAGGGGCTAAAGGTACTCTTCCTCGAAGCTGCGAGCATTCGTTACCAGCATGTACGTATACGTATACTAATAGTGGCAAGGGTGGTGTATCAACAGATTCCAGCAATACCCGATTGCGATTCCAATTGTAGCGAGTTGTCCATCCAAGATTATACTCGCCTTTGGTACTTACTGATCATAAAGACCGTCTAGCCGCACCAGTCATAGTCTATGGGCACTCTATCCACCCATACGGCAGGCGTACCGTCCGGAACCTCGTCGCCACCAAGGAACTACAGACCCGATCTTTTCTCCGAGCATCATATCATTCTGCGGCGCAGCGTCCGCTGCACAAGGTGTTTGATGGCAATACATCATGCCCAGGTCCCGAGGATCGTATAGAAGATTTCGATGTTGCTCACTACACTTCACGGTAGTTGCACACACCTTCAAATTCTACCTACAGTAACTGTATAAGAACTGATGATACGTGCTCGCGTGGATGTGAAACATGAGCCTAGGTTCTGCTGCATTACCAGGTACTAGCTCACCACCTGCTTCACGACGCCTCAAGCATCATCCTTGCTTGTCAACGTTCCACACGGCCTGCAGACCCCGTCTCTGAGAGGCCTCTGGATGCATGGCTTCCCGGAGTGCATCAGGGCTAATCTGCGTGCCGTTAGCTCGTCAGACCGCGGTGTATAAAGTCCCGAGTATCCCGCTTGAACCTTCTGTTCCCTCAGTTGCTTCCCAGACGTCGCTGGTGTTGCAAGACTTGTCATGTTTACCCGCGCCACCTTCCTCAGCCTACTAGCTGGCTTCTCATGTCTCTTCCTCTCAGCCCCTGCTGTCAGCTCCGAACTATACCAGCGTGACCTTCCTCCAGGGCTTCCCGCCGATTGCTACTGCAACACCCCAGGCTGTCAATATGGGATCATCAGCCAACCATACCGTATCACGACCTCCCAGATCGTCGCTCCTGACGGTACTAACAAGGGAAATTCAGCTTCCCCAGGTGACTCGGTACGCGTTTGTGATGACACATCGATACAATCCATACATGTCTGACATCGCGGGTGTTGGATGGCAGCTCATCTTCGCGTGGGACCCTCTGCCGTGCTACCCCAATAACACACTGGCCATCGGAATCTTGCAGGGCTCGCAGCTCGGCTCGCTATACACCCCAGACAATGGCCTTGTTGGACCCGTCCTGCTCAATTTGGGGGGGCGGAACGAATCCGCCAATTATACTTACGTGTTCAATGACATTGGGATGGTTCACGGCGACTTCTATCGTCAGTGTACACCTATTCAAGTCCAAAGATATGCTTACTGAATGATTTTCCAGAGGCTTCGCTCATGGTGTATAACACTACTACTGGCGTTCCGTATGTGGTATCCGGTATTGACTTTACCTGGGAGACGCCCGTAAGCTTTTCGCTAGTACGCCAAGTATGAGAACTCACAAAAGCGCAGTACCCTTATTAGATAGTCCGTGCATTTTTCTCATAAAGAGGACACCTACTTGAATAGGAGAGGACACGTAGACGAAGCAAAGCTACATCAGTAAGCTTTGCAGTCTCTACCGTACTGGTCTTGTCTATGTTTAGGTGGCTGCTGTAGGAGACGTTACTTTACTTCGGACTCGGACGATGCAACATACTCGGGTTTCTCAGTTTCTTGAACAAAGAACCCATCCTTGATTTTGCGTGACATGTGGTACACTTGTACTTACGCGTGGAACCTACTGACTCTCAGACCGATAAAATGTTGACGAGATTGCTACACATCTTGAGTCTAAGTCTCCATGTGAAACAAGGGCATGTATACCGGTAGCTTGAGGACAGGGTGGCGAACTCCTTTGAGATCTCATGATTCGTAGCCCCTTGGATGAAAGGGGCACGTTAGCGTTGTGCGACTTCGCTTGGGAGAATAGCCATTTATGGTACCCAAGATACCAGATTTAGAATTGTGATGGCAAAAGTGCATGAGTGAATGACTGAAGGGCATAACGGATGGTCCCGCATTCACATATATTAGCAGCTTTGAGTATCTTGTTAAATTTGGCTCTTCCTGCTTCTTGCGTTCTCGAGAGTCGAAGAGACAGAGTTATACTCTGTGCTGTAGTAGAGCCCGGCAATACCCGACAGCGAGCGTTCAGTATGCACGTGTTTTGCCACAACGCGGTCCCGCGTGACGTTGATCGCCCAGACGCGTTCGCAGCCGCTGTGGCTGAGACAACGCTGTCCATGGACATCCCTGCCCTACCGACGACTCTGCTGCTCCTTCTACACTTGCACCTGCTCAGCTATCCAAATGCCAACAACACCGAATTCGACGAGAACATATTCAATGCACATGTCCGTGGAATACGGGAACGCGCCAAAACCATGGAGGAAATTAGTTATTTCCTGGTGGGAAAGATCGAGGGAAACGCGAAAGCCGTGCGTACATGGTTGATCTAATATCTGTATTTTTTGCCTCTGATGGGTGTGCTAGGTATTTCCAGCATATCCATGCCTTCGTCCATCGGACGCTACGGCCTTCCGGGCGGCCCTCACCAAATATCTCGAAACACTGCGTCACGCAGCCTTGCATCCTAAAGCATCTACTGATCAGCTGCGTAGACTAGGCAAGACTGTCAAGCAGAGCCCTTCAAGTGGGACGCCTGGTGTGGAGCTCGCATGGTGGTGGAAAGATGTGATGGTCCGTAAATCCTTATTAGAGGAGTGCTCCGGAGACAAGTGCGTTCTCCTGACCTGAGCCTGCCGATGACTGCTCATTTCGATCAGGTTTGAACGCCTAATGCTGGCGCTATCTACGCATGCACTTGTGAAGGGGCTAGATGGGCAGTCGGTACCTTCCGCCATTGATGCATCATCAATGGCTCCTGTGAGTGTTTCGGACTCGATCGATACCTGGCACAGACACACTGAGGCAGATTAAAGAAAGTGCTGCAACACGAGATGCAACGATACATCCAACTCCTTTCATGCACGCAATCAAGCCGTCGTACATGGGAGCGTGTCGCTGGTGATCTGTGGAGACAACATGATGATATCAAGCTATTGCGTGTTTGTACACGATTTCTCCCATCATTTTCCTAACCTATGCTTAGCGTCCATCGTTGTCTTGCACAGGAGCACCTTGCTGCCTCAGGACAGGGTTCTAAGATGAAATACGACAACCTCAGCACCGATCGTCTGTCCTTGTTAGCTGAGTCCAGAAGACATGACTTGTTGAAGAGCCACTGGACGGGTACCGTCGGACAACGCTGCCTGGATAATGCCATAAACATAGCGGGTGTCAGACCATCTGATACGTCGGCGTATAGCCTGGATGGTCCTCGCGATTTATCTGGTTCAACTTCGGAAAATAAGGATAATCCTAATCAACTAGTGAGCATAGCACCACATTGTCCCCTCGTTTCCTGACGCACCAAGCGCTGAAACAGGCAATTCAGCTTGCGCCGCAATCGCTACCGATAGCCGCTGCCCACCACCCTGTTAATGTGCGCAGACTCGCGAAGTCCGTGTTCGACAAACCGAAGAAAATGGCGATGAAGGCCAATGAGAGAGGAGGTGCAGCGCTGCAGGATGGTGAAACGTCGCATAGCCTCGTCAGGATGGACGAGCAAATGGACACTGAAAAGAGATTACAACGTGTCCTGCAAGACGCTCTTGCCAAAACGAAGAGGGTCGGAAATGAAATCGGCGAGGGCCTGAAAGAGCTTCGAAAGCGCCGGAAGCCGCCAGTGGAAGGGATCAGCGCTCACCGAATCGAGTTATGGAATGGACCGACGCTCGATCATTCTGCGGTCGACTTCAATGTAAGTGTTTCCATGGCTTGTTGTATTCTGATGAGATAGGTGGCGTGTACCTCACGTTCTTCCACCCAGTCCACCGTGTCGTCTGACCTTCTAACGTCGCTTGCGTTGCCTCCTATTACCGCCGACAATGCTCTGGAGGATCGTGTTAGACATATACGAGAAACCCTTCTCCCACCTTTCCCAGCCATCCCAGGAAGCAACGGTGGCGCTGCACTCGACGTTCCACTAGGGGCAAGGGGTTCAGAAGATGAAGTGTCTGTGGACAATGGAGGTCAATTGGATCACATGAAATCATCCGCAGGGTCTGCGCGGACACCTCGCCGGTCATATGTGACGTCGACGCCCCCCAAGTCTGTTAAGCCCCGATTGGCGCGCTCCCAGAAGGTGACGCACAAGGAAACCGCACCCGTCCGCGCAAAACCAACACCGTCTGCGAAAAGTGGGAAGACTGTTCGACGAAAGTCGAGAGTCAGCATAGCGCTCGCGAGAAGGAAGACGTCGGCACAAGGGAAGGAAGTGGACATGGTACGTTTCTTGCTTGGTGACGTACCGCCCTGACTCCTCATGCTGCTACAGATCACCGATGATATCGTGAACACCTCTACGACTATCCAGGACGAGAGTGATATTCCGATATATGCCACCCCAAGACCAAGACCTGGGAGTACCATCACGCTGCTTACAAGGTCTACTGTAAAGAAGACCATACCACCCGCTCGGAAACTGCAACGTGATGACTCAGAGACGAATGATTTGGATCTTTCTCTGCCTGAGGCCCTAGGTATCGGGAGCGAGGCCGAATGGACCGACGACGATCTAGTTCGAGAGGACTCGGAGGACGACCTACAGTACGAAGGAAACAGCATGAGTCTGGCGGATATCCTCATGAGAGCGGGGGACACGACGCAATTCGATCTTCTCGGTAAGTACTGATTCATGGAAATGCGTTGTCGATCGGGGCAGCAATGAACATGCTTGGCTGACCACCCTATCTTTCAGACGGGGGACGGATTAACCTCGCTGACCAGAGTATGGGATGGGACTGAACGCTATCAAGGCCTGTATTTGCTATGGGAGCTATCTTCCGTTGCAGCGGTACTGGGGCTCTTCGTGAAGGATGATGATTCGATATCACATCAAATCTATCTTTATGGCTTGTTGTATACGACAAGATTCGTGAAAGAACAGACTCGATTGAATTGCTGAAAGGATTGTTTCCTCGTGCAAACGAGGGATCCACGTGGTCCACATCTATCGTGGCTCAAGCACTCCCGATGATCATCCTTGTAAGGGCACCGCTCTCGATCAAGTATGTAGGCCTTGTTCTTCATTGAGTATGAGCTTCTATCATGAACACTCTTGATTACGAGCGATGAATACGTTTATTATGAACATTACCAACCGAATCTAGGCGGCGTGAACATCTATATAATACAATAATCACGAGACGAGGAAATAACAGCAGATAAACAACGGACGGCCACCACACATTGTACTATGTACATTTTGGACATAGGCATCCGTCGTATAAGTAGTAAAGAGTCTGGCTACGGTATCCAACAAGGAGGGGAGACAAAAGAAATAAGTTTGATAATCAAGGACGTGTGAATAGTTCATGAGACGGAAGGGCGAATAAACAGCGATAGGATATGATCTTGAGAGTACGGTCGGCGGCGGAATATTTATCGACAAGAAAACAAATCGTCCGGATGCCTGATGCGAGAAAGGCGCTTCATGAAACGTCGCAGTCAAAGAATAATAACTTGAGACCAGCAGAGGGATCAGGCACGCGCCTGTTAACATAGCTTGAGCTTGACGGAGAAAGTCATATCATAGCTCGGGCAAGAATATTCACTCCCTGGCGCCAGATTCCGAAGAGACGACAGGCCAGACAGATTCCCGCCTGCCTTCGCCGCGCGTCACGGACAACGGCACGGCAACCTGTCGCTGGTCGCCTGCGCGCTGTTCCTCGATCCCCCTCCTAACCCTTTCCATCATCCGCTCAGTCTTCTCCAGCATCTCCTGCAAGTTGCGCCTTCCCTGGCTCAGCTCGTGGTAGTGCGCCTCGAGCTCCTGGACGGTCGGAACAACCCCGGAGGCATACGGCATAGACACTGGCATAGACATATTTCCCATATTCATATTGTTGGACACGCCGGCCGCGGGGCCGCTCAGGTTCATCGCAGAACCGTGGTGTTGGTGCATAGATCCCGGGACAGGCGACCGCGTACCAGCGGGGGGCGAGACAGACATACCCCGCCCAGGCTGTCCGGGGTAGAACTGGCTCTGATGCTGGTGCTGGTGCATCGAACCATGTCCGGAAGGCAACCCCAGGGCGTGCGGCGGAGGGAGCATACTCGTGACTTGCGACAGCGGGCTGTGGGTGCGGCTAGGCGTCGACCCGGATCGGAGGTAGCTGCTCATGCTCCCGTGGTAGGTCCCGTAAGCGGCACCGCCGAGGGCATGGTTCAGCGGCGGCAGATCGAGCCCGGTCGACTGGTGCCCGACGAACTGCAGGGGCGTACCGCGCGAGTGGTCGAACTCGCCATGCCTCGGACTCTGTCCTCTCCCTTGGTCTCCCATCCGCGGCGAGACCCCAGACGCATCCACGCTCATCGGCACACCCATAGCACCCATCTCCCAAGAGCCAGGGACACCGGACCCTGAATCCCGGCTCTCCCTTCGCCTCTTCGCAGATCCACCGCTCATATCGCCCTCAGCCTCCTCCTCTTCCATGGGAACGACACCCTCGTCCTGGCCCTTCTTCCCGCGAGCCCTCCCGCCCTTCGCGCTGGCACCCCTGCCAGCAGCCGTTCTCCTCCTCTTCTTCGGCTGCTCGGCCTCCTCTTCGCTGTCCTCTCCCTCCCCACCACTCATGCGCTCCCCGAGCTGGCTCCCCCCACTCGTGCCAGTCTGCAGCCGGCCGACGCTGACGAGGGCCTCCGCCGCCGCCTGGTCGCTCAGCCGTCCCGAAGGGGTCGTGCTCGGCCCAGCCGCCGGGACGCGCTTCCGCCTCTTGATCACCGTCTTCTTCATCGAGTTCGGGCGGTGTGTGCCGTGGAGCTTGTAATACAGACCTAGAATCCCGGACCGCGTGTTTCAGGGTGTACGGGGAATAATTTTGAGTTTCGCGAGCGTCGCGTTTTGGGTAAAGCGTCGTCGGGCGACGGATCGTCGATGCAGGAGCGTCGATATGATAGCGGGATCGGATAATGGGAGTGACGACCACGCAGCGACAAGGGGGGCAAAAGGGAAAGGAATGATCAGCGAACACGTTCCACATGCACGAGACACGCAAAAACAAAGACGCAAAACAGGGAAGAACAGCCAGCCGCGGGGCCCGCGAACGCGAACGAATAACCCGCGCTCGACACCCGCCGAGCAACCAACACACGACCCGCAGCCCCGCTTCCCCAAACAGAAGCCGATAAGACAACGGCCAGGAAACTCAAAAACTTCCCGTCCTATCTGATAAGACAAGATTGCACCCCAAACCCAAAACCGCCCATCACGCGCCACGTGCGGCCCGCCGTAACGTCACCCCGCGTTCGAATCCGTACGCGGCCGAAAATACATGGGAGCGGGGATAGAGCGCCGCACGGGAGGCGCGTCTACCCACGATCCCAGGGCCACCAAAATAGCGGAGGGACAATACCCAGGGCCCGAAATACAGTCCCCGAAAACACCCGAGCACATCCCTCCAAAGGTGGACGGGCAGGCTCGAGCGGATGGCGCGCTGGGCGCCCAAAGGGCATAGCGTCGAGCACAAAGCCCCCGCGTCCTTCCAGACGTCTCCGTGCTATGAAAGCACCCGACACGACTGCACGGCGCGATAGCCTCGCAACAACCCCCGGTAGACTAACAGGCGTTAGGCACCAACAGCAGCAAAAGCACCGCGAAACTGGAAGCCAACAACCGCCGACCGCCGGCGTCGGATTTAAGCATAGACGCAGGGGACAGTGCGGGCCCGACAACGAGCAAAATCCCGAAAAACCAAACAAAATAGACAAGGAACCAGACACTCACCGCAAGCATTGCAGATATTATTACCCACATCGTCGCGCCTCCACAGCGGCGTCGTGCTCGTCCCACAATTCGCGCACGCAAGTGCGCCGACAGGCCCGCGGCCCTTCGTCACGCCCCCCTGCCTGCCGGGCGACGCCGGTGCGTCCTGTTGCGGGGGCGGGGGGGCGGCGTCGCGGCCTTGGGCGAGGGCGGCGGCGGGATCGCTGCAGCGGCCGCGGCGTCCTCAGCCACGCGCGAGTTAAGCGCGTTGTTGTACGTCGGGCACCCGGAGCAGGCGGAGCTCCCGCCCGTCCCGTCGCAGCGCCCGTCGCCGGGGCAAGTGCCGCCGTGGTGAGAGTCTGCGTGGGCAGCCGGGGCATGCTTGGGGGGCTGCGTGGGCGATTGAGGGGCCTGAAGCAAGGCACTATGGTTAGCATATAGCCACCATTGTACCAAAGTAGACGCGTACCGAACGGACACTCGCTCTGGGGCTCTTCCCCGCGCCGTCCTTGGCGAAATCGCGCTCTTTGCTGATCTGGTTCTGGCCGTGATTATCAGTTTGCCTGGGGCTGCTCGTGGCGCTGCTGCTGTTCTGGTTGTTATCAGCGCGCTTCGCTTGCGACTGGGACATGGCGTTTTGGTGCTGATGCTGATGCTGTCTGTTCGGCGTGGGCGTGCGCGCGAGCGAGGGCGGGCGGGGCATGTGCCGGGCCTTGAGATAGAGACCTAATAAGATAGGATAAAGAACAGAGGAGCAGCGACAGTAGTCAGCCTGGGTGTTCTATAGAGTCCGATAGGATGCAGAGCGGATATGAATGGATAATGAATATAAGGAAGGATAATCGAAATATGGACGACGAGTCGCTGGCCGACGCTGCTATGGAATTAGTGCAAGACCAGCATGCACATGTAGAGGATATGATCCCGGCGTCCAGCATATATATGTGGCCCTGGTGCAGCGCCTGAGACGCGGACAGGGAACCTCGCGGCTGGCGCGTGTCCGGAGGATGGGCCATCCCCCGTTCCTTTGTCTCGGAACTCGCGCAATCCACTCCAGGAGCACTCGTGAAGGAATTTCTTGCGCGAGCAGATCAACAAACAGACACGCTGATCTGGCAGCCACGCTGGGGGCGCGCTTGCAGATCTCCACGAAATCTCGAAGACGCGTGTACGAGCAAATACCAGCAGGGGAGATCTGCGTGCCACGCATGAATCTGGCGCCAGAAGGCTAGATGCTGGGAGGCAGCAGGGTGATATGAAAGAAGGCCTGCCGACGCCCCCTACCGAAGCCACGTGGGCGACGGGGAAAGGACAGACGATACCGGGGGACGGGATCGCGTACGGAATGCGATGGCACGAAGCAAAACAAAACAGAAACTAAGGAAAGACAAGGTCTGAAGGAGTGCTTACCACAGGCGTTGCAGATGAGCTTGCCGTCGCCGTCGCGTCTCCACAGGGGGGTGTTGGTGGTCCCGCAGTTGGAGCAGACGGGCGAGGACTGCTGCTGCTGGCCGTTGGCTGCGCCGTTGGTATTATGATTAGAGCTAGTGCCGTTGGGGCTGTGGCCGTTGGCGGGGTGGTGATTATGGGAGCTGGCGGCGTCGTCGAGGATGCGGATGGAGGGCGAGAACGCGGACGGCGACGAGTGCTGCTGCGTCGGGGACGCGGCGGACGACGAGTGGTCGTGTTGATGGCGGTGGTGGTCGGACGTCGGAGAGGACGGCGAGTACTGGGACTGGATGCGGGAGAGCGGCGACATGGACGGGTGGTGGATGTTCATAATGGGGGGCTCGAGGACGACGGGCGACATAGTATTATTAGCGTATTATTTTGCGAGGATATTGTCTCGGACGACAAGGGCGGGCAGCGGGCTGGTGGCAGCGGGGCGGTGGGCGATGACAAGGAAAGAAAAGCGAAGAGCGGGGAGAGGACAAGAGGGAAACGCAAACGAGATAAAACAAGATAACGCCCGATGGCGCCGCTCCAGCCAATCGCATACCGCGTAATTCAAATTCCCACCGTCCTAGATAACAACCTTGGTAATCATTCATATTATATTTAACTAAATTATCCGCTCACGCCCGTCCTTCTGGCTGTTGGGACGCGAAGACGAAGGCGAAGAGGGTGGGGGCATTATCGATCCATAGAAAAGAACTGCTGAGTCCGGACGCTCGGATCTATGCAAAATCACCTGAGCGGCAAGCCAGTCTCGAGCAGTTGGCGTCACTCTCTGCTCTCCCGCACGAAGCACTCGCGTCCCGATAGCCAGGAAGCATCGCCCAACTCTAACTCCTCCTCGCCAGGACTGCCTCCGCTGCCCGCTGCGACGCTGGCCCTCGTCCAATCACCCCCTGCCAGCGTGAGCCTTGGCCGCGTCACCGCCGGCCGACCCCATTTTGATTCGATTTCGATAATCCAGCTTGAGAGTTCCATTTTCCATTTTAACCCACCGCTTTCCCTCTCGGCGCGGCAGCTGATCCATCCCCCCGCCGTCGCCGCCGCTTGTGATAAGATAAGTCACGACCGTCCCGTCATCACCTACATAAAATTTCCAGGAAACGGCTCATCTTCATTTACGGCTGACGACCCTGACGTGGTCACTAGTCACGACTCTCGAATTGCCTGCAATCCCGCATGTCCCCGGCCCGTCCCAGTCCAGCGTAGACCCACATCGCCTGCCAGCGACTGCAATCACTGATCCTGACGAGACGCTCTCACCTTCATCTCCGCAACAGTCGTCATGATATTCCTAGTCTAAAATAAGCATTTTGTATCTGTGTATCAATAATCAATAATCAATCCCGCTGTATCCTCCAATAGCCCTCTCCACCTTATTTTTGCCCACTGTGGCTTGAGATGGCGTCCCCAGTCTCGAATTCAATCTCATTCTGTACGATTCCACATAGATACCGCCATATCATCGTCAGAGTCCGATGCCCGCAATCTTATCATCTGATGGGGTCATCTCCAAGCAAGCGGAAGTAAAACAGGGTTGCAACTGATGCACCCGCGTAGCTCTCGGCCGTCGATCTTATCGTCTGCGTTATGTATCCTCCTGGCGACCACGACAGCATTTCACCCTGTATACACACATATGTAGATAACTGGCACAAAATGATAATGTACATACTGTACAGTACAACGCCGATCCTCGTCCACCGAGGTCAAGGCTCACTACAGCCTCCACCAGCACCTAATCGCTTACCGCACCCAATAAGAACCCCTCCAACATTTCTTTACCCCACACAAACGGCTTAGTCTCTCTTAGCCTGCGTCGAGCCCAGACCAGCCACAGATACCGAGCCTCGCCTTATTAGGCGTCCCCCGCAAACGCTATCCAGCTTTTAGTCAGTCGCTCGAGCTTGCGCTGCCCCTAACATCCATCCACCTCCCTCGGATTACATTCAGCAGGGGTCCATTGGTTGTACCCGTGTGTCTGCTGAGCACCCTATGACTTCCCCCAGTCAGGGCGAACAGGCTCATTAGCGTCGCAGCACATGATGGGGTCCATTGCGTTCCATATTGCGGGGATGGAACGCACACCATGACGGGGTTGGTAAAGACGCGAAATAGTCATCACCAATCACGTCGAACTTTCCTGCATTCCCTGCTCATAGTGTTCGTTCACTCCGGTTCCACGCCATGCAATGGATCCCATCGCTCCAACGGTCACTCGCATTCCCCAGTCACCCATGCAAATACATAGGAACGCATAGCATACTTCATGTATTCGTCTGTATCGGCTTGCAATATAGAAAGACAGTGTAGCGGAGACAAGCGGTCGAGCAAACATAACTATGACCCTCAAAGCGTAGGAACCTCGTGCAGAGGAAGCGGGAGGATGGCGCGCATTATGGGATTTATGCCTCTGTCGTGGCACGGGTGCGCTTCTTGGCGACGGTGTTCTCCCTAGCAGAGAGATGCAGTCAGGACCAGACCAGCATGGCAAAAGCGAAACATGTGCGATACGGAGAAAAGGCATCATCGCAGCGGGAGCGAGAATACAGCCACGGAAGTGGAAACCACATGAAGCGCGCATACGCTTATACGAAAGCCCACAAACGAAAGCCCCACTCACCTGAACCCGTTCTTGAACCTCCTGGGCACGTCCTTGAGATAGCGCATCCGGCCCGTCCCCGTCGTCTTTCGGCGCTTGGCCTTCTGCCCCCACTCGTACGACCGGGTCTTCGCGGACGGGTAGCCACACTGCGCACATGCTAGCGGGGCGAACAGAGATCAGTTTGGGTTGAGGTGGGCAGGGGACGGGAAGTGCAACTCACTCTTGTGCTGACGGTGGAACGCACGGACGCCGCACCGGCGGCAGATGGTGTGCGTCTTTGTGTGCCGCTTACTGTGAGGTGGTGATTACGGGTGCATAGGCAAGTAGGCGGGAGGGCAGGGGATGATGCGGGACAGGGAAATATAGTGATTTTGACACGACCAGGTGGAACATAGAGATGGATGGGCATCGAGAGAAGACGTGAGGTCAGAAACGCAGAACAAGCGCATTAAAGACTGCGAACGCACCCGAAAGACGAGGTACCTGTACCGCATCAAATGAAGCAAAGACGGCCAGCGCTATGTCAGTCCCAGGCAAGGGTACATCCGTACACCAAAAACGAACCTTTAGTCTGTCAAAGCAAAACAATCATCAGCACTCCATCCTCCGCATCACACACGAAACCTAGAGACGGGGCAGACGGTGCAACACCCCTCCCGCGCGCAAGTCCATCCAACGCATCCCAACGACATCCACCTCCCCACCACGCAATCCACCCCATCCCACCAGCACACCACGCTCCAGCATCATCTCTCGCGCATTCGGAGGGCGTGTAGACGGGAAATCGGGCAGGGACTCACCATCTTGAGGGCTTGAGGATTTTGGGTGTCGTTTCGTTAGCCTCGGAGGGCGGGTTGTGGATGGATCGGGGTGTGGCGTGGGAAGGTGGTCGCGTGGCCCCTTTGGACATGTACTTTCACTCAGTACACTCGACAGGGGATCCTTTGCACTGTCCGGTGGACCATATACACCCCGTTTTGTTTGTTCTCTGGCATAGTGGTAAGATATTCTGCGTTTCCGGGGGTACGGTGTCAGATTTTGGCTTCGAGTCCTCGGAAACGCGGGGTCTCTTCCTACATCCGGTCGCATCCCTCGCATCCAACTGTAGATTGTCGTTCAATAACCACATCGAGTCGTAACCCTTGACATAGGCCCCATTCCACGGTATCCTCCTACGCGCGCGCTGTAAGCTCTCTGTTTTGTAAGCCAAGCTCCAGTCATCGTTGATAACTGCATAAGAGTGCACCGGGGCCGCTTGCACATCGGTCACTTCTGGTATGTACGTATACGGTGTGTCTTTGCTCACATTACTTCACAGATCTGGCTACCGTACTATTTCGTGTGGCTGAATTGTCACAAGCACGTACTGTCGTCTCGCATAGCAGTCGATGGTGTTCGGTTGGATTCTCATACCATCGCTCCTCAGCTGCAGACGTACGCCGCCAAAAGATTGCTTCTTTTTTATCGCCATATCGAACTTTCCACACTAACTGGAAATTTGAATTGACGCCCTCACGGCGCTCCATACCTTGGACGTCCGTCCCGGTCTGGCTTTCTCTCTGAAAGGTCACCATGTACCCCCTCCGGCCCATCCATCCGCAAACATACTCGAATTCCGAATTATCCTGAAGACTTATGCTTACTATTCTCATGCGAATCCTTCGGACACAGTGCAAAGGCCCCCTCGACGCCCTCGGACTCAATCCCCATTGCCTCCGGTCCCTTCGTCCACATAATATGCCGCGATGTGCGAGCCGCGCTACGTCAATCCAGCACCTCTGGTTCGATAATCAGCAGGGGCTTTCACGCGACATCTGATAATGGCTATGGCCTGCGTATATCTGGGCGGGATGTGAGCAAACGCCGGCTGGTGTCGATGTCTCGGAGATCGGTCTGCTTAGTGAGAGGCGGGTGGCCGTCATGCTGCGATTGATTGCCCGACAGTTCAGTGTCGGAGATCTCGTCATACGAGCTGCGGTGGAGGCGTGTCACAACTGCAATCCCCATCTATGTCGATTTAGTGAACACGCCAAGGCAATGTGTTGATCAATCTACAAACACGCTTTCGTGACAGCTGCAGGATGCTACGAGACGAGCCTATCCATCGGCCACGAGGTCACGAAAGGTGAAGATACAAAATACTCGAACTTTCTGTCGCTGCTTACTTGGTCGAAAGACCCGGGGTCTGCGCTGAGGCTCTGAAGTGCGCTACCTGCGGCTTCCTGGAGAAGCATGGGCACAGTGCTCTGCGACAATACAGTGACCCTGACTACTACACACTCTGGCGCTCCATCCGGGGACGTTTCAGTACCGCGAGGCGAGGCTGTCCATGCCACAATGGTCCTGAGAGCGGAGGAGTGCCTGCGGGCCGGACCGGACGGATGATAAGACAAAGGTATGACGCACGAGATGAGGAACACGTTCAGGTCGTACCGTAGCATGCTGGACGGTGGCCAAGATCTATGCGATATCAAGACACGATGTTGCCAGTGAGCTGGCCAGGACTTTCGAAAGCAGCCTTCCAGTACACCAGTAGCTGTCTGCGCGGGTTCTCTAACCGGGTCAAAAGGTCTGCGAAGTGTTAATCTATGTTAGACGCACCTTGACATAAGGCAGCGCCAGTCGGACCCAATGCGCGGTCGCGAGTTCCGTGCCCGCGGCCAGAAGAACCTGCAACGATCGGGATGAGCATAGTCAAGCGTATGCCGTAGCAGGTCAAGTAAACCTGCATAGGACGTAAAGCAGCCGCAAGGACACGCACGCTGGATGGGAATTATCAGATAACTGGCGAAAGGATGTGGGCATATGGGTTCATGTGATCAAGAGGAAGACGGCACCGTATCTTTATTGAGCCCACGAAGGTGACAAAAGTAAAGCCGAATGGTGTAAGGCAGCAGTAATGCTCAAGATAATCGATGAAGGCTTGAGGTCGGATTACGCTTGCGGCAATAATGCCTCAGATTGCCACAGTGTGTTCCATTCAGTCCACTCAAATAGCTCTCGGGTTCTCAATTCAGGTTAGGCACGTCCCGCGACTCTATCAGTTGGTAGATGCACAATAGATCAGTCTTCTCTCCACACAGTGGTTCCGTTCAGCGTCCCACAGATGACTGGGACCCGCCGACCCGGAGCTCAGTCCAAGGGCTAGGTCCAGACGCGCAATCGTCCCGGCGGTAGATTGTCGGGCTCCAGATATACCAACAATACAGAGCTTTACGATCGCATTTCGTCTGATAAGATGGTAGAAAGCATAAGGGACAGTGGGGAAACATGTGAAATCGAATCCATTGGGGATGTGAAGCGCCGAACAGCAGTCAGGTGGGTCTATACGGCAGGCATTATTGCAGTCCAGCGGTGTAGCTCATAGTACAGGCAGACACTTTGCATCTCAATATTCAGTCCGACCCGAGGACGCGTTTTGAGGAGCAAAACGGAAAGAATCGAGGGGCGAGAAGCAAGCGCTTAACGAACTTACTTACCCTTTATGGGTGATCGGAACCACGTGACTTACTAAACACATGAAAAAGACTTCCCCAACGGAATGAATCTCTAGCTTTGATAATTCGCGCTTTGATACATCGCCAGCCACAGAATCGTTCTTCTCTAACGCTCGATATGGCGCCTGCAGAGTCGAGCACGACGTCGATGGCGCTGGAGGACCAGGACGAGTCGGTTAGGATCGCGGTACGTGCTCTGGACGACATGCGAAATAGGACAGTGCGCTCCCAGTCACCGCCTTCCTATGCGTCCACCTGTACGTGACAATATACACGAGGTGAAACTTAGCACTAAAGAAAGCAATGGACATTTTAAGCCTTTCAACCTACGCCCGCACTCAGTGTTGCGTCTTCTTCAAGTAGTCCCTCGACGGAGCCGTCGTCCTTACCTCCGGAAGATGTCAATTCACCCGACTTTGTCTCTCGCGTCTCACGACTTCCCATCGTAAATACCGCGCTGAGTGCATATGAGCAGAGTAAAGCTAGCTCAAGGGTTGTCAAGGTTCGTCCTTGATTTTTGTCTTGTGTATAAAACCCTTGAACTCCTTATCGTACCAGTTCGGCGCGGAAATGATGGAGTCATCCATGAAATCACTATCACGTCCAGTCATGGATCGCCTGCCGGTGAATCAACTAGACGAGTTTGCCTGCAGACAACTGGACCGAGTGGGTTTTGTTCAGTTTTCGGGGCGATTTACTGATGCGACCCCCGTATGCCTGTTCGTAACAGCTGGGCCGGTACCAACGCCGCCTGTCCTCGCCCCACCCCGAACGCATGCAAACGGACTCACCTCGCAACACACGGGCTGTATCCCCCTCCCGGTCGCCGACTCGAGGTAGGCGGATGGATTCGTGGTCTGCGCGTATGGACGAGGAGCAGCGAGAGCGAGACGTATCTATGACGCCCAGTGACCGATATTCGGACACGCGTAGTCGGCCAGGGACACCGACTCAGTCTCCGCGACGAGAGGAGGGTGAGAGCCAACAACAAGTCGCACAGAGGAGCCGATGGCAGGCCGTGCTACTGGAAGCGGGTGGGCTTGGCGCAGCTGTAAGCGAGGAAAGTATGCGAAGGCTGAAGTATGTGCTCCAGTGGTTGATGGTGCGTTCCCCCACAATGATACCAATACTCACTCGTAACCTTGGGATGTAGTACGCCACTGCACACATCGACGCGCAGATTTTGGTATTGCGGGATTTCATAGCTTCATTACAACCTCGGGGCTCAGTACCGTCCGCCCATGCCCCAATAAGCCCAGAGCATATGAAAAAACTGAACGATGTCAAGCAAGACGTCGTGCATACTGTGCGGCAGGTCGTGGACGTAGTACGTGATCCTCCCAGCCATTACTTAGTAGAATGTATACTGACCTAGTGCCCAGGTTAGCAAGTACGCAGGCGGTGCGCTTCCCGAGCCTGCACGCGCCCGCGTCCGCGGGTTCATCCTCACCCTTCCCCAACGCTGGGCAACAGCAGCCAATCGTCAACGTCACGAAACCGTATCCGCCGACACCTCCCCCGTCGCATCCACCTCTGCCTTGCCGCCCATCCACCCGGTTCGCGGTCGCGGCGCCAAGCCGTACTCGCGCGAGCCCTCCCGCCCAAGCTCTCCCAGCGGCTCCGCGCCGTCGAGCCCACGGCTGTCGAGAGCGGCTGTTCATTCGAGACAGGGTAGCGGGCACGCACACGCACACGCGCATCCCGCCCCGACGGCGGGATCAGCCACCGTTGCAGCGCAGAGGATATTGACGCTCGCGACGGAGAGCTTGGATATGATGCGTGGTGTGACCGCGGTGGTTAAGGATAGTTTGGACCGAGCCGATGCGTGCGTTCTCTTTCCAATGCCTTAGTAATGTATTGCCGCTGATGTGGTGTGGGCCTTATAGATGGGTCGATCGTCTGAGAGTGGTAGGGATCCAGCGACAGGGACAATCAGACGCAGGATCTCCAACACGGCCATTGGAATCACCGTCGTCGAGCACGCTTTGGTCTCCCTCGGGCAACGGACACGCGCCACCGCCTTTGCCCTCTCCCCTCAACTTGTCGGACACGTATCCTTCTTTCCCTGTGCCTGTCGATGCACCTTCTCCCATGGGACCGGCCACGTCTTCAATGGGTAGCTTGTCGTTGCACTCGGCATCGTCGACACCGCGGGTCAGTGCGAGAGAACTCGATGCAGACCCTATGGACAGAACGCGATACAGGGACAACAGAAGTGCGGAAGTGGAGCGAGCGCTATCTGAATCGAGAAAGATGGACGTTGATTCATAACAAACGGCCAACAGGCTTTGACCGTCGCCGTAGCACCTTCATTTCCGTCTTGGTTTTCTGTGGACTCGCAAGATGTATCGATATTTATTCGCTTTGTTGGATGTCATTATACTAGGTGCTCAGACAGACACTGGAGCTCTATATATATGCATAGTGTAACAGTAGTCAAGAACTGCATGTACAAACCAAACACGGGCCCGAACAATATATGAACAATCCTATAGCTAGAAATCTCGGCCGCGGTTCTCGTCGAAACCGCCCATTGCTCTAACACCCTCTACCAGTCGTCTATACTCTCTCAGCAACTCGCCGACTTCCGAAATCTTTAGATCATCTTCCGCGCATTCGAGGAAGCGTTGTTTCGGAGGCGCGAGGCGTATGGAGATGGACGATGGTGACGTCGGGCGGGACGAAACAGGCGTATCAAACCTGTTTGGTATGGGTGGTGGCGCCGGGGGTAAGAGCGAAGACCTTCTCGAAGGAGGCGGGGAAGTCTGCAACACACCATGTCAAAGTGTGTGAGAAATCTGAGTTGCTCCACACGTACCTTGACCTTGGATGCAAGAGACGACGACTCTGCCTCCCCGCCATGGCCCAATCTCCCCAACCCAGGCACCTGCGCGAGCCGATCCGCCAAGCTCCTCCTCCCAGTCGGCACCTGCGCCTTCTTCCGCCGCTCACTCATCATACTCTCGAAGCTCCTAATGCTCCTCGCATCATGCTCCACCTCCACCTCCGCCTCCTCCTCCTCCTCCTCCCCATCGTCCTCGTCCTCGCTCCCCGTCTCGGACGTCCCCGAGCCGGAGCTGTCCTGGACGTACATCGAGCGCACCGACCCGGGGCGGCTGGACACCTCGACCATCTGCTGGCCCTTCTCCTCGTCCGCGGGGCGCGCGCGCTCGCGCCCGGGGAGGCTCGCCGCGAGGCTCGCGATGGAGAACCCGCTCTCGCGCCGGAGCAGCCCGAAGCCGGGGCGGTGCCACGGCGCCGCGTCCTGCAACGCCGGCTGGTCGGACCCGCCGGGCAGCAGCGCGCGCAGGGCGCCGAACGAGGTGTCGACGGAGCTGACGACGCCCGAGATCATGCGGTTCGCGGACCCGGTGATGGCGTCGACCTGCTGCTCGACGCGCCCGCGCAGGTTCGCCGCGAGCGGCTGCGTGGGCGAGTTGCCGAGCGCGACGGGGATCGGCTTCAGGTCCGCAGCGCTGGCCAGCCGGTCAGTGCGCACGCACACGCAAACGAACACGAACCGGACACACCTCAGCACCTTTGTCTCCTCCTCCTTGAACCCCAGCGCGCCCAAATCGACGTTCTCCAGAAACTCCGCGACCGCCATGAGGTTGATGAGACAGTAGCTCTCCTCCCCGCCGACGTTGTGGTTCCGGAACCGCTGGGTGTAGAGCAGGTTCGAGACCAGCCGCGGCGGGTTCGCCTTCACCACGGCGTATATCACGAGCGGGAGGAGGACGTCGCCGCTGACGGGCGTCGGCTTGTGCTCGGACTCGGGCGGCGGGGAGACGGTGAGGATGGGGGAGGCGGGAGGCTCGGCGAGGGATGCTGGTTTGGTTGTTTCCACAGGATTCGATTCGGTGTGTTCCTCAGGCGGGATTGCGAGCGCAGGTACCGCCTGCGGCGATGATACTACCGGCGGGGATACCGCAGTGCCTGGCTCGGGGGATGCTATCGCGGTCGTTGACGCGGCTGGCGATTTGGGTACGTCGTCCTCGTCATGCGAGGGGCTGTTCTTCCCGAACGTCGACGCACGTGGAGTCTTTTCTTCGATTTCCGACTCTGACTTGAGATGGATCGGCGGGAGTCTCGAGAGTCCGTCTGGGAATCGTCTCGTGTTATAGGTACATACGGGGATGCGCCAAGGGGGGCTCACCGACGATGATTTTGTGCGCGGCAACCAGGACAGCAGCCTTGTCCGCCGGACACCGACACTCTGAGAGCTCCAGCTGCGACAATGCTTTGCGTGACATGGCATGAGGCCGTTGAACGCCGGGTATACATGGACGGCGCACTCACTGGTCCCGCACGCCTTGACGATCACTTCCACGTCAGCGCTGACGCTCCCGGCGTCGACGCCCAGGTGCTCCAAGCCGAGATCCAGCATGTTCAGCGCGGCGATGCGGCTCGCGAGCGCCTCGTCGTGCTGCGCGTCGTCCGACGCAGGCTGGCGGAACAACCTGCCGTCCCCGATCAAGACCCCGCAAGCGATAACACGCCAAGCGCCCTCACCTGTCGTAAAACACCTCGCATATCGTCCGCTCGACGACCTCCATGATCTCCCGCCGCCTCGCCTCCGACACGCCCTTATCCCTCGGGCTCCCTCTCTCGTCCCCGTCCTCTCCCTCCTTCTCCTTCTCCGCGCGCCTCTTCCCGCCCGCGCGCAGATCCTCCTCCAGCGCATCGTAAAACTCCTGCATCCGCGCGGCAGCCTCCTCCGCGCCCTCGCCCGCGTTCACCGCGTACGGCGGGCCCGCGGCGCCCGCCGCCTTCGTCAGCGGGTACCACGCCGCGGTGAGCGCGTGCACGCGCGCCGCGACCCACGCCGGCACGCCGCGCGCCGCGA